ACGAACAACGCATTCAACGTACGTCCTAAGGCCAAGTAAACCCTAGGGGAAGCCTCATTAAAATTCACACAATCTAAAAAATCGTGCTTATACTCGCAGAAGTGTGCGTCTCTTTGTCTGAGGTCTCTTGACACTGGGGCTTGCCTGTTTGGTCATAAAACGCTACCCAAAGCTAAAAATAAGAATTTGCCACAGTAATGACCAACAACCCATCATCCCCACCGCTACCGTGAGCCACCCCTCTCCCCCAACACAGGGACCCTTTCCTGCCTCCTATCCACCTTCCCGTCAGGGCGGAAGATTAATAACTCAAGGAAATGGCACATACATTAAAAAAAAAACACCAAATGCATTCCGGGATCATGGTGTCAGCTGACGTGGGAGATATTTTCTGCCGAATTTGGCCCACCACTAGTTTTGTTATCGATATTTTTGTTACATTTCCCTGCACAAGCCGAGGGTCTCAGTCAGAGTTAACATTTTTTTTCTCTTTCCCTCTCTCTCTCTCTCCCGTGTTTTTTTGTGTCCTCGCCGACGGCTTTTTCCGCTGGCACGTTCTGCGCCAAGCATGCGGCTGGCGACGGGCGTCTGGGCAGCATCACAAACCGCGAGCAGAAAAAAACACACCGTGGTGTTTGCGTTCTGCGTTGCAACACCGCGTGGTGCCCGATGATGTCCCGTTGGTGGGGAATTAGAGATGAATGCTATTAAATCTTCAAGGGGGCATTCGTGACGATGGAAGCCAAGGGGAGTGGCGGGGGTTCCTGTTGTTGTTCAGCCTCTGCTCGGCGTTTCGTACTTTCTACTCCCCGCTCGTTCTTCTCCTTCTTCCGTACAGCGCGAGGGAAAAAAAGCGACAGCTTTGAAACGCGTTCACCGTGGAACGCAAAGTTATTTTAACCAATCCGAGGAGGCGGTATAGGCGCTGTCCGGATCGTAGTGACGCCGCTGGCGGGACGTCACATTCGTCGGCGATGCGTTTGACTTCGCCGCTGGCTGCGGATCGGCGATTCTTCGACGATTGTCCCCGTTCTGCGGAAGGTGCGTGGATGCGTACGTGCGTGCATGTGTTTCTCCCACGTGGAGTTCCGGCGCGGTGTAGCGAGCTCCACGGTTGCCGCAAGAGAGAAGCCACCCCCCCCCCCGCCCCACGGTGTGCTTCTACTCCTTTTGCGCCACCTCCACCGTATTTTCGGTGGCGTCAGGAAAGCCCAGCCGTCGGGGCGACGCGCCACGCAATTGTGGCAAGTCCACTCTCACGAAAGTGCCCTTCGTGTGCTTCGGTGAAGAATTCTCAGAGGGTCGGGCGCCTCGTGAGTTACCGAGCCCAGACGACGCAGCGACACCGTGCACAGGCAGGGCACAGCCGATGCCAACATCGCGAAACGTGATGCGTATTATACTCTTTGGTTCTATTCGGTAAAGTCACGTGGGTGACTTTACCAGTACGGTCCCTTCACCTGATGAAGGCCACTTGTGTTGTGGCCGAAACGCCGTGATTTTTGTTGTTTTATTTTTTACCTACGTGACTTTACCGAATAGAACCAAAGAGTATCTATCCTTGCAGTCACGAAAGCTTCAAATCTAGAAGTGATGCGTATTGGTTTGCGTTTTCACAGGCCACGCACAGGCCACGCACAGGCCACGCACAGGCCACGCACAGGCCACGTAAGAAATGTGTAACTCCTTCTCTCCGCGGAGTGTCCCAAGTGCTCAATGCATCATTGTCCTTTTCAAAGTTTCCCTCGCAAAAGTGTTACCAAACCTGATATTTAATTTGTATTACTGCTACCACTACTTCGCTTGTTTACAGATAGCCTCGCCAAGTCTCAAGACTCCTCTTTTCAGGAGGGTCCTGCCCCAGGTTCTTTTTGCGCTCGGGGACAACGTTTGCTTCTGGTAATCCCAACTGAGTAATGTGCGGATAACTTTTCAGCCTTGTGACATGTGGCCAATATCAGAACCTGGAGGGAACCAATCAGAACTTGGGGTGGGGAACATAACTCCATGGACAAATAATCCCGAGACTTAATAAAATTGAGTAGCGACAGCGGTTGTCCCATGGATAGACTCACCCCCACCACAGGAACGTGGAATTTCCAACGCTGGAACAGGGCTGTAAAAACGGGGGGAGGAGCTGCGCATCAACGCTCATTAATGAGCGGGGGAAAAACTCCGCTGCAGCGTCATCCGCCGACATCGGCATGCTGCGCGTGCCGGGATCGCCACTCACCACACAAGACAAATAAACTTTCCCCCACAGATCGTCCTGCCTAAAAAAAAAAAATCGCCGCTCTCCTTGTTTGCCAACGTTCCCTCGGTGTCAACTCTTTTACACTACTGCCCCTGCTATTTTTATTTGACCAGGTAAGGCCCACTGAGCTATATGTAGCTCTTTTTGAGAAGCGACCTGGATATCACAAATGATAGCCCAAATAAAGTGACTTACCACGTGGACATTTACAGCAGCCAAATACTCTGAACGCGTGATGTCGATTCTAAACCGGAGGACTTGGAGAAAAATCCACGCGACCACGGGGGAGATTGACACGCAAACTCCAAATATTCAGCTGGTGTCAGTGTCGGGATCGAACCCACGTCCTCCTGCATACCGGGCAAGGTAGTTAACATCTCGCCACCGCGGGGTCTATCCGAGGGAGACAATGTTCCTGAAAGTGGGTCTCACCTGGATCAATAATTCACAAGGCAGTAACCGTTTGGTGCCGACATGGTTTAGTGTCTTTAAGTGTCCGGAAAGCCGCAGTAAGTGTGGTTGTGAGCTGTCAGTTCTATAAATAGTCACACAAACGGATGATGATGGCAGATTTCCCAACTGCCTCTCCGGGGCTAAACCGGGGATCTTTGTCTTCACTGGACTGTTTACGTGTGTATGCATGCGTGAACGTTTGTTTGTGTGTTTAAGATGCTTTGTGTGTGTGAAGGATTATACACCCGCGCCGTGCTGGTGCGTTCACGCGTGCACAGGATTATTTGCGTCTGTGAGACCGCGAGCACTTAGCGCGCTACACGGCGTCCCAAGTTCGATTATCGCACACGGCCAACACTGGCGACGACTATCTGAACCGGTCCTCGGCGTCCCCTAGATCGACTCGGCCTCAAACGAGTACCCGGCGCGACATGTAAACATCGCCACTTGGGAGACAAAGGCGGCCCGGCCGTGGCGCTGACCACCCCACCCCCCCCCCCCCCCCGTGTGTTATGTGCCGGCCATCATAAGTGCTGCTCGCTGACAGCACTTGCCCCATCGGTCTGCTAAGGCTATACGGGGGATCTTTGCCTTGCGAGCGCGCACGAGGGATTATTTGCGCGGAGGCAGCGTCGGTGGCGGCGCGTCCCTGTGCGAGCGAATGCAAATGTGAGTGAACTTGAGAGAGATTTTCACGGAATTCCTCACGAACACCACAGCCCTCGCTACCTCACGGCCTCTGCGCCGCATCGTCAGACGCGCGTCGATCGTCGCGGCCGCGCCTCCCTCGCACGTCGCCGGGCGAAACATTTTTGTTGACCTAACACGCGTCCGCGACGCCCGCAGACAACGCCACCCCGCTGGTCTCTCCAGTCTGCGCTGACCACTATCCGGCGTGCGACTGTGGTCATCCAGAACAGACCGTACGACGTATATCGACAAATAAGAAGGAGACATCAGGGCGAATCACTTAGCTAGCTTCTGACGCGGTTGACCACCTGAAGAAGAAGCTGAAGAGCGAACATTTTCTGTGCCCGGTAGGCACCATTCTTTGCATGGCAAACCCATGTTTTCGTTCCCAGAGCCGGAATATGCTGAATTATTTAACGCGATTGCCGTGCAAAGATTAGAAAAAAAATTTGTGCAGTCGTTGGGTGACTGGGCTGTGACCATCAACTCGCTACACCCGAGAGCCCAGCTTAGCCCATGAAAGTTTGCCCTGGAATGCCAAATGCCGGGCCCCAATTTCAATTTGTTTTATTCGCCATGAAATGGAAAGCGGCACCTCCTTGTGTTAAAAGCGAAAGCTTAATCACACACGTACGGCACGGGAGAGGAAAGACAGCGTTGTTAAGACGCATTACCCTCAACGCAAAGTGGCACGCGCGTGAGCGAACACGATCGTTTCGGCTCAAAGCGAAGCGTGGATTTGTCGTTTCTCGAGAGCATCCTTAAAGGCAGACATAAGGCACAAATTTGATATCAACAATGGGAAGCCTTTCATGTCTGCCCCAAACACATGTGAGGGATCGTCACTTCTCTGTGGGGAAGTGGGGGAGGGGATACTTTGAATTGAGAAACGGACGGGGGGGGGGGGCACGAGCGAGCGAGCAAACGGAGGCGCTGGGTACCTCCTTGGGAGTCACTAAGCCAGCCGCAGAATGTGCACAGGGGCGACGTTCGAACTACCGCTCGCCACATCCTTCAACGACGCGTATGATCTCTCGTGTAAACGGTTCCACGGTGTTATTTTTTTGTTTTGCTCTTGTGTTCAATTGGGGCTCCACACGGTTTAATATTGAGGTGGTGGGCCAGGGTTTAACAATCCCTAACTCTTCCTTAGCCATATTTTTTTACGTTTAACAAACGTGGTAAAATCCTTGTTGTTTGCGAATGCTAACAGTGCGGCCAGCGAACCACGCAAGACGCAGAAAAGCACGCACGTCACCGCGCGCGCACGTAAAAGTGAGTACGTACACGCGCGCACATAAATGCGCACACACACGTACGTACACACACACACACGTAAACACACCTGCCAACTCACACTTCCTGCGGGTACCTGACCTCTGGCTCCCCGCTGCCCTTTGACCCCCCTACAGACTTGCTAAACAAGTGTTCACACGAACACTATTTGCCTTGCACATCTGTGCGGCTCACCGCTCCACGGGGAGGTTGGGCTGAGGGGGGGGATGGGCGGAGGAGGAGGGGGGGGGGTGACAGCAGGAGGGGCGGTTGGGAGGGTGTGACGCTCAGGCGGATGCACATTCCCAGCGTTCCTGAGAGCATTCCCGGCATTGCTCCTGTTGCGACCGCCGCAGCAGCAGCAGCAGCAGCTGTGTTTATTTAAGGTATCGCATTTTTAAAGCGCATTGTGAGCCTCCTCGTCCACATTCATATCGTGGGGTTCACGCTCCCAGCTCTGCTATCCACGACCCGGGTACATTTACCGACCGTGCAGAACTCGCAGTGACGCATTTGGTATACTAACCCGAACACTGACGATGCCCCAGGTCAACTCAGCCTAAAATTAGTACCTGGCAGGATGTGGTCAGGACGGGTGCTGGCTTCGGGCCGCAGCGTCCACGTGCGAGCGGTGCGCTGGCCGCGCCGCCCGACTGCGTCTGCGCCGCTCTCAAGCGTGGAGGCGCTCGCATCGAGCCCGTTGCGGGACATGCAGAGGGTGGCGATGAGGGCGAACTCCACCGCAGTGGGGCTGCATCGACTGTCGCCCGTGTGAGTATTTGTTCCGCGAGGACCTGCTCGTATAGTCCAACACAGGTGTCTGTTCCCGTAGTTAAAATAAAGGAGGCGTCTGATCTCTTGGGTGCCCTGTCTGTGCGGAGTTTGTATGTTCTGCCCCTGTTTTGGCATGGGTTTCTCCTCCTCCCCGTCCTTTGGGTTTTTCCAAGAGATACAAATCTAACTGGTATTGGCCAAACATCCCGATGCTGAAAAACTACCTGCATATGACTCAGTTGGGATTACACGCAGCAACATCGCCCCCTTTCTGAAGAAGAGTCTTGAGAATTTTGTAATTATAAAACATAATTACAAAAACAGGCCCTTGTCTTACATAAAGGAACTGTATTGTTTTGACTTTGGACAAATGCATTACTGTGTATGTATGTTAAATTTCTTTCTCACCGTACGTAGCCAACCGTGTTAATCGGAGATGCGTTGTTCCTAGGAATGTACCGAGCGCCACGGGAAAAACGTGCCGACTCCTACACATTCACACCCTCCATGCGGACGTCACGGCCGATTCCCGGGGTCGGCCCAGGTGAGAGAGAGAAAAGCGTGCCGCTCGGCTCGAGACGTTGAAGGGTAGCCCGGGGTCTGGGCGGCCCGCCCGCCCCTGTGGCGTTGCGGCCTACTCTAGGCCTACTGGGACATCCCCGGTGGCCCGAACAATCGGCGAGCACGCCAGCTCCCAGCGAGGGAGGGCGCCGTGCGTCGCGTGCCGTGCGTGCCGTGCGCCGAAGGGGGCGTACCGATCATGCTGGAGCCGATGAAGGCCGAGCTGCTCATGGCTTCGTGCGCGGCCAGGCCCCGCTCGGGGACGTGCTCCGCGTAGTGGCTCCCGTCGGCGAACGTCTGCTGCGGCGCAAAAACACAACGAGCGCGGGAAAGAGAGGGAGCGCGGAGTTAGCGAGCCCCGTTGGGGGGGTCTGCGGCGAGCATCGATCGCTCCAAACACGCGCTGTTGTTCATTTGTAGCTGATCGTTGGCTTAGCTTGCGTCATGCCGACCCCACACCCGACACAGGCAAACAAGCATTTATCCACGCGACAATGATTATTGTATCGGCTAGCCGGCAGCGATTAGGCACGAGCAATTGAATTCTTATCCAATGGCTATATTTGGCGGTGAGAATTGTCCATCATCTCACCGGCGAGCCGAAGCAATGATAACAGGCGCGCGTTGTCGTACACACGCTGCGTGTGTTCATCTCTTTGGCTGCGTCGGGTGGCGGAGAGTCTTACGACAACAACATTTGGCCAGATCGTTTGCGTGGGGCTAACCCAACAAAAAAACAACCATAAATCATAATATTGGCTGCGACATCCTCCCGCGTATTGTTTAGTGCTTAATTCATTCACATTGCGACCTCCTCCAGCCCGCCCCCCGGGGTCACATCGACTGACATCACATCTGCCCATCGCCGTGCGCCGTCTCCGCCACGATCGCCGTGGCCAGCACGTCACTCAGTGGAACCCGTGAGCGAGCGGCGCGACTGGAGATGTCCTGACTCGCCAGGGGCGATCGAGCCGTGGGATCGACGGCTCTCAAACCCCAGCGCTGCCCCGTCAGTGTCGATCGAACGACAGCCGCTTTCAGGGTTATCCTACGGACAGACCGTCCTCGCCACAAGAAGGTGGAATGCCTGGATTGCGGGGTCGCCATCGGAAGTAAGGTTTGCTTAAGCATGGAGGCACAATGGGTTTTGACAATGAATTAACGTGCATTTATTTTTTACTCAACAAAAAAAAGCATAACCGAGCATTATAAGATTTTATGAGGGGTGTATTGTGCGACGCAAGCAAAGTGCAACACAGCCTTTTGGCGTTCTCTGGTCTGACACTTGTAGGCCATAAAGAACGCTGTCTGTTGTAAGACAATCAATTTCAAAGACAATGCATACATTATCAGAGTATGTTTTGTTTGCATGTTCAAAACAAATACTTGTGGTTAATGCAGACTCGATTCCTTGCAAAAGGTGTCTATTTGGTATTCGAACATCTGAACACCTCCGCGTTTCGTCTTACACAGGGTAGAACTCTCCAACGCAAACTCTTGCACTCAATTCTCCTTCACATAATCCGAGCATCCCCCTCCCCCCTACACACTTATGACACAAGACTAACCTATCTTCCTTCCCTGGGATGACACATTAACAAATGGCAATAACACAATGCTCTGGACTCACCCTCCCGAGGTCACCTCTCCATTTAGCGACATGCAACAAAGGACCCCTGTGTAGCCTTAACAGACTGTAGGGGCAAGTATTGTTATCGAGTAGCACCAAAGAAGGCCGGCACGGCAAATGAAGGGGGTGGGTGGCCAGCACCACGCCCGCCACACAGAATAACCTACCACACACACACAGCGTTACCTACCACACACACACACACAGCGTTACCTACCACACACACACACAGCGTTACCTACCACACACACATACAGCGTTACCTACCACACACACACATACAGCGTTACCTACCACACACACACACAGCGTTACCTACCACACACACATACAGCGTTACCTACCACACACACACATACAGCGTTACCTACCACACACACACACAGCGTTACCTACCACACACACACATACAGCGTTACCTACCACACACACATACAGCGTTACCTACCACACACACACACACAGCGTTACCTACCACACACACAGCGTTACCTACCACACACACACACAGCGTCACCTACCACACGCACACAGTGTTACCTACCACACACACACACAGCGTTACCTACCACACACACATACAGCGTTACCTACCACACACACACATACAGCGTTACCTACCACACACACACACAGCGTTACCTACCACACACACACACAGCGTTACCTACCACACACACACAGCGTTACCTACCACACACACACAGAATAACCTACCACACACACACAGCGTTACCTACCACACACACACACAGCGTTACCTACCACACACACACACAGCGTTACCTACCACACACACACAGAATAACCTACCACACACACACAGCGTTACCTACCACACACACACACACAGTGTTACCTACCACACACACACACAGCGTTACCTACCACACACACACACAAAGCGTTACCTACCACACGCACACAGTGTTACCTACCACACACACACAGCGTTACCTACCACACACACATACAGCGTTACCTGCCACACACACACACAGCGTCACCTACCACACACACACACAGCGTTACCTACCACACACACACACAGCGTTACCTACCACACACACACACATACAGCGTTACCTACCACACACACACATACAGCGTTACCTACCACACACACACACAGCATTACCTACCACACACACACACAGCGTTACCTACCACACACACACAGCGTTACCTACCACACACATACAGCGTTACCTACCACACACACGCACACAGCGTTACCTACCACACACACACATACAGCGTTACCTACCACACACACACACAGCGTTACCTACCACACACACACACACACAGCGTTACCTACCACACACACACACACAGCGTTACCTACCACACACACACACACAGCGTTACCTACCACACACACACACAGCGTTACCTACCACAGACACACATACAGCGTTACCTGCCACACACACACACACAGCGTCACCTACCACACACACACAGCGTTACCTACCACACACACACACAGTGTTACCTACCACACACACACACACACAGCGCTACCTACCACACACACACACAGCTTCACCTACCACACACACACAGTGTTACCTACCACACACACACACACACAGCGCTACCTACCACACACACACACAGCTTCACCTACCACACACACACAGTGTTACCTACCACACACACAGAATAACCTACCACACACACATACAGCGTTACCTGCCACACACACACACACACAGCGTCACCTACCACACACACACAGCGTTACCTACCACACACACAGAATAACCTACCACACACACACAGCGTTACCTACCACACACACACAGCGTTACCTACCACACACACACACAGCGTTACCTACCACAGACACACACAGCGTCACCTACCACACACACACAGTGTTACCTACCACACACACACACAGCGTTACCTACCACACACACACACAGCGTTACCTACCACAGACACACACAGCGTTACCTACCACACACACACAGCATTACCTACCAAACACACACACACACAGCGTTACCTACCACACACACACACAGCGTTACCTACCACACACACACACAGCGTTACCTACCACACACACACACAGCGTTACCTACCACACACACACACACAGCGTTACCTACCACACATACAGCGTTACCTACCATACACACAGCGTTACCTACCACACACACACACACAGCGTTACCTACCACACACAGCGTTACCTACCACACACACACACAGCGTTACCTACCACACACACACAGCGTTACCTACCACACACACACATACAGCGTTACCTACCACACACACACAGCGTTACCTACCACACACACACAGCGTTACCTACCACACACACACACACAGCGTTACCTACCACACACACACACAGCGTTACCTACCACACACACACACAGCGTTACCTACCACACACACATACAGCGTTACCTACCACACACACACATACAGCGTTACCTACCACACACACACACAGCATTACCTACCACACACACACACAGCGTTACCTACCACACACACACAGCGTTACCTACCACACACACGCACACAGCGTTACCTACCACACACACATACAGCGTTACCTACCACACACACACAGCGTTACCTACCACACACACACATACAGCGTTACCTACCACACACACACATACAGCGTTACCTACCACACACACACACACAGCGTTACCTACCACACACACATACAGCGTTACCTACCACACACACACATACAGCGTTACCTACCACACATACACATACAGCGTTACCTACCACACACACACACACAGCGTTACCTACCACACACACATACAGCGTTACCTATCACACACACACATACAGCGTTACCTACCACACACACACATACAGCTTTACCTACCACACACACACACAGCATTACCTATCACACATGCACAGTGTTACAAAAGATCAAAAATACAAAGATCCCCCATATAGCCTGAACAGATTGTTGGGGCAAGTGCTATGAAGGCCAGCACGGCACACGAAGGGGTGGGTGGCCAGCACCACGCCCGACCACCTTTGTCTCCCCAGTGGCGATGTTTACACACCACACCAGGTACTCATTTGAGGCCGAGTCGACCTAGGGGAGGCCCAGGACCGGTTCAAATAATCGTCACCGGTGTTGGCCGTGAGCGGGAATCGAACCCGGGTCACTAGGTTCGTAGCACAGCGCGCTAACCACTGATAAAGCGCAATGCTTTACCAGTTTGTTGTCACAAAGCTGTGCAAATATTGCACTTGTGTTTTTGTTAAGTCTTCTTCAGGAACATTGTCTTTCAGCACGTGCAAGTTACCCTTTGATTCGTTCCCTTTTGTTGTCTGGACCCTGCAGAAACGTCAGAGGCGGAACGAGAAACTTCCCTGGGGGGAAGGCGGGGGGTAGCAATGGGGGGGGGGTCACCCCCACGGCCCCACTGAGAAGCGTGCGGGCAGTGTGTAACCTCTGACACCAGTGGCAACACCCATGAAGGGGAGGAACGGGCTCGCAGACGCCAAGCAGCCAATGACGCATTCCACTTCCCCAATTGTAATGAACTGCACTATATATTTCTTTTTTAACTGACCAGGTAAGGACCACTGAGCCATGGAGCATTCTTGTTCAGAAACGACCTGGCCACTAATGTTGAGCTCAGCGAAGTGGCTTATCGTCACGTGGACATTTTATAGCAGCAGCCAAATAACTCTAAACGCGGCAATCATCATCATCATCATCCCCGACTGTGACAGCTAGGCACATGACCCTCCTGAAAAAGCGTTACGAGGCTCACGGAGGCTCTACCGGGTGAGTAAAGTGTAATTATAACAGCGCCGTGGCTCCCGGGTGAGCAGAGCGTAATTGATGGCTCCGTCTCTCATGAGGAAGCCATACGGAGAGAAAAAAATACAGAACCGAAGAGAAGCTTTGGATGAATATTTTACACACGAAAAACCTGAAATTGTATCCGCATTTCAAGCGGGCGCTGACGACACAAGGTCATTATTACACGGAGGACAGGTCGGTGATCTTTAATTATTTATTTACAACACCAACAATGGGCGCCCCATATCGGGTACGTGGGTTTCTTCTACACATTCAACTCACTCGGACAATGGCCATCATTTCTTTTTTTTTCTTTCCAAAACATCAAGCGCAGGGGGGAACACAGGGGCACCGTTGTGCTGTGAAACTCAAGTCGCAAAGAGGCCGCCCTGCCGATCGCGCGGCCTCTCACGTTAACGGCAGCGAGGAGGGCTCGGTGGGACGCGGCGGTTAGCGGCGCACCGCGCTACGAACCCGCCGACCTGGGTTCGACTCCCGGCTGCGGACAACACCGGCGGCGAGTGAAATCTGAAACGGTCCTTGGCACCCCGCCCCGCTTCACTTCACCACGCTGGCCAGCGTGGTGAAGTATGGTCAAACAAAACCCCCATGACTAAAAGAGAAGGCCTACATGCAGCTGTGGCCTGATTAGGGGTTGTGTGCAGGGAGCTTTACGATTTGGCCGAGCGGCTTTTAGAATAACGATTGTTAGAAAAGTTGATGGAAAGTGACGGCATCCACGCCCCAAAAAAACACGACTTTTGAAAACAAGAATATTTGATATTCGCGATGATTGCATCGGTCTCGGCAGGGATTTTGAATGAGCACCGCACGCCGCTAGGCTGACTCAAATGCATCGAACACCAGGTGAACGGTCTCTACATGAAGCCGAACACGTGTTTGCCTTAGGCCTGGCAGGGAAGCATCTGCAGCCAAGCCGTAAACCGCACGGCTGCAGCAGCAGCAGAAGACGAGCTGCTGCTGCGACTGTGGTCATCCAGAACGGACCGTAGTACAACGTATAACGAGGCAATGCCCCCGATCCACAAATAGGAAGGAGACATCGCAGCGATGCACCGCGCTACCCCTGACGCGGTTGTCTCTGCTGGCTTGACCACCACCTGAAAGTGAAGTTGTAAGTCGTCGCTCTGCATCTGCATCAGCAACCGTACGGAAGAAGAGCTCGTCAAAGTGAACGGTATATTTTGGAAATCCATGGAAAGAATCTGTCCGTCGGTTTGAAGAGCTACGTTTTCCAGGAAGTCGGAAGCATGTAAACACAAATAGGTAGTTGCCGATGTTCGACTAGGAGTTTTGGCCCAAAGTCAGAGGGCGACTTTTCCAAAATCGATCTACACGAGAAGGCATTATTGTTAAGTGACCTTGTTATTAAATGCTTTGACGTGATCATGTGACTGTGTGGGATTATCTTGGTGTGGTCTGGGACTGCTCTGTTGTTGCTTTTGCTGCCTTCCCGAAGCTTGATCAATAATTAACGCACATTTGTTTTCATTTATATTCGGTGACTTGGCTCATGTTGTCTCCATTCTGCACTCCTGTCGTGTGTTTGTATTGCTTGATGCTGTAACTTGCTGACCCGCCCCATACCGGACACCTGTGCAAAAGAGCTTTGCAGCTCATCGGATTCCTCGTGGAGTCTAAATAGATATATTCTGATGAAGTGGCCAAGAGTGAGACTCCCTCCTCCCCCCCACCACCACCACCCCAATGGAAGCTGGCATCGGAATTATTAACAAGCACGAAAAACCTCCGACACCTTCAGCCGGGCGGTGGTGGCTATGCTCGCGGCTGCCTGTAATCCATAACAGGTTTTTTTGGTCTAGATCGCGTAAATATAAATGTGTCGTTAAACCCGCCACCACACGACACAGCCGATTAGTAAGGTTTGTCATGTACAGCAGCACACCGGTGTCTTGGAGAGCAAAGCCACAACATTTGCCATTTACAGATTTACACGATCTAACCCAAAAACACCTGTATTATGGATGATAATGGTCGCAAAAGCCTACCGCGATGTGTTAAACTGCCTGTAATGTGGCATTGTGGAGGCAGCCGCAGCAGTGGAGAGGGTTGGTGGATTAGCGCACGGATGACGGAAAGTTGCGAGTCTCCATTTCCCGTGGCCGTCGAGGAGGTGCCCATAGCCTGGCGTGCCGGCACAATGGAACAGAGCAAAGTGCGGACTGATACCGTCTGTCCCTTCTGTATGGGATAGAGCGTTGTCCCCTCGCATGCGAGGGTTTTCTCTGGGCACTCCAGTTTTCCTCTTCGCATGTATAATAGAGACTCTCACCGATTGGTGGAAAACATTCTAAACATCAAAAATAAGAATAGGTTTTACCGTTTCTGGCAATAAAACAGGCCCTAAGACGTTCAAACACCATTTTACCCGCACAAAATCTCGGAGGACCAAAGATAGCAGTACCAGTAAACTCAATGGGCCGAGTCCGCATTAGCCAAACAGAATCGTCAGAGAATCTGTTTTGCCAATCGGAATAAAATCACTTCGTATTAACTGGACATGTAATCACCAGCTCATAATCAGCAAATATGTTGTGTCCTGAGCCTGGCCTCGCGATTCATGTCACAACGCATTACGGTTTCGCAATGCCCACGTGCAAAGTGGCTTTGATTTATTATTTACTTTCTCCGCTTGTTTGTTTCTCCGCGGGCCCCCCCCCAGGCACGTGGGTGCGCTGGCTCTTTCAACGACGCGCGATCTGTGAAAACTGCTTTTGTGACAGACCCGTCCGGATCGCTCAAATCGCAAAAGACGCCCGCCGACCGTTATCACGCAAAACGAACACACCGGCGTGGGTGGATGGGTGGGTGGGCGAGGGGGGGGAGGGCTCATAATTTTACACGCAAAAAAACCTACGGACAATGTCAGGCAGCGGCCCATAAAAATACGCAGCAACACTTTTTCTCCGTAACGACGGGGTTCGGTTCGCGGCGCTGTGTCCAACGCAGAAGAAACGTTACAGCGGGTAACGCGACGCTTCGTCGCGTTACAGTTGAAACGGACAGTGTTTCGTTTCGCTAAACCCACTTGACAATCTCGTGCCCGAGGCAGCCAATTAGGTTGGGGTATTCGTGATTTTGCAGAGAATTTCAGGGGGGGGGGGGGGGTAGTGGTGGTACAGTGGTTAGCACAATGCTCTATGAAACCCAGCGAGCTGAGTTTGTTTCCTGGCCACAGCCGACATCAGCGGCGAGCGATATCCGTAGCGGTCATGGATTCCCGCACCGTCACCCCTCACCACCTCCGCCAACCTGCATGATTGAGCGCTGCGAGGTATGGTCAAACAACTCCCACAACCAACACGGTGTGGGGGAGACCCTCACCCAGCAGTGGATGTACAAAGGGCTGCAAGTACACGTAGAGCCCGCGTACTCATGGAAAGTAAGCCGAGCGCACCTATTAGCTAGTGAGCTCAAACGTTCCTGGCAGTCACCCAAAGCGAACGAGAAGATCTCGCGTACAGACCAGTTCACCGGTCTCAGTTTGTGCACCAACATCCGGCGCTTCGTGGTAAACCCAGAGGCTACCGAGTCCTCGAAGACAGACCGAAGGCCGTCCGTAACAGCCCGTCACGTCGCTTCCGCAATGAGACGTGCAAACCCAGAGGCTACCGATTCCTCGAAGACAGACCGAAGGCCGTCCGCAACAGCCCGTCACGTCGCTTCCGCAATGAGACGTGCAAACCGCCGCCGAGCAATACCTCAATCTGCGGCACGGAGGCCCCCCCGTGCGCAGCTGGAATTTTTTGCGACTCGCTAAAAATAAGAAAAATCTAAAACTGCGAAGGGGGGGCGTTCAAGACGCGACAGAGGCGTGCCCATTATGTGTGTCCGTAGCACCTCGAGCGAGAGTCGGCCAGGGTCACGACGGGGACACGCCGAGGCCCCGTCGAGCCGAGAGAGCCGCTCGACTTTCGCTTTTCGACGACGCCGGCAGGTGGGGGTGGGCCCGCAGTCGGCGCCCCCCGTTGACTCGGCGATGCGGGAACGCAGTTCGACGTCGCATCTGCCGGCTCTCTCCGCTCGGGTAAAGTAAAAAAAGAAGACCTGGGAATAGGGTCGTTGTCACGTCGCAAAGTCGCGAGGCCGCGAGGACAAGCGAGAGCGAGCAGTCCGGTAATAATGGGGAGCGTTCAGGTGGCGAAATGTTAACTCCCTCGCCTGGTACGCAGGAGATCGTGGGTTCAAACTCGACCGTGACGCCTGCTGTATATTTGGAGTGTGCGTGTCCCTTTCCCCGTGGTAGTTTAGTTTTATGGTTTTAGTTTGTATTGACTCTGGAAAACTGGTGAGTGGGTAAGGCTTTGCGCCAACCGCTGCAGCGGTTGCTGTAGCGGTTGGCACAAACGCGGGCAGCCTTGGCCATTTTCCGCATGTTTGTCCGCATTAACGGCAACACGCATGTCGACATGGCAAACCTCCTAGGTTAGCGACGCGTGGTACTCCCAAAGCATTGGTCTTGAGAGAGGGTTGCACTCGGGGACAAATGGGAACATCCCATCGGCGCTGAAACGCGAGGCTGTTGGTTTGGCTCACGGTAAGTGCGCGC